TGAGTATTGATATCTTGAGTGGAAATAAGTTGGACCCGAGAGACAAACGTCTTTATTGAAGGTTTAATGATACAACAGATTTGGATTTTTTGATTTTGAGATAATGCTATTGTTCTCTAGTATTAACGTCACTGTACTAAGAGACAATTAAAAGTTAATAGTGTTGCCATCCTGCAGTACATGTACTACTAAAATATAAGGGCTGCAACCAGGGATTCTTTTCATAATAGACTAACATAACTCCTAATACTGATTTAGGAAAAGGAAAAAACTAAAAACGCCCTTCACAGATACCTAGAGAGCATGAGGTGACGCCATCGAGGGTCTTGATTTGTCTGATCGACAGTCCAAAATCCCAAAACAGTTTATTTAACAGAACAAAGGAAGGAAGGAAATGAAAAGCAGCCAATATCCGCATTACAGAAGTCTTGACAACTGTGGCCGCTGGAATCCTCCCTCGGTGTCAGTAAAAGTTCATAACTAAAAGAGCTATTCATAAAGCTGCTTTTAGTAAACAAGGGAGGGAAGGGAGCAGGACTGAAACCTTTTGCTATGAATGACAACGTGTTTTATAATTGAAGTTTCTGTCTGTATAATTGGTTGAGACGTGTGACTGATCTGTGACTGCAAAATTCCTAAATTTTTTTTTGTTTGTTTTGCATTAAGAACTGTTTTTTTTCTCCATACACGGGCTGTTCTACTATCAGGTAAAGTGCATTTTGATTTGGTGAATAATTCTGGGATATTCCATGTTCATCAGTGTTGAAAACTGATATTAAAAGTGCAGAGTTGTGCAAACAATCCTATCCAGTGTTATTGAACTGGTTTGACTTGTTGGTAAGCCAACTGAATCTTTATGAATTCACCTAAATATATAGCTTTTTACAGTACATCAAGTACTGTGATGTGTTGCTACAACATGGTGTAAGAGTTTTCCTTTGACCAAAAACATAAGAGTTAGGAAATCACCAACTGAGCCAGTTAGGAGGCCCTTTCAGACGGACAGCTCTCACCACTCAATAACAAAGATGTATCGGACCCACGCTAACAAATATGCAAAATGGCCTCATATAGTTTGAAGGATTTAGACCAGGGGTGTCGAATCCTGGTCCTCGAGGGCCACAATCCTGCAAGTTTTAGATGTTTCCCTCTTCCAACACACCTGATTCAAATGATCAGGGTCGTTATCAGGCTTCTGCAGAGCTTGATGATGAGCTGATCATTTGAATCAGGTGTGTTGGAAGAGGGAAACATCTAAAACATGCAGGATTGCGGCCTTCGAGGACCAGAGTTCGACACCCCTGATTTAGACTCACACAGTACGAGCTTTTTCTCCATTTTGCCTTCCACGCCGAGCTAAACGCTATTGACCATGAGGGAAAGTGTCATTGCTGAACTTTGACCCTCGGTGCAGCAGCGATTCATTGGAATGAATGAGTTTCAGTGCGCAGCGGTGATGTTGTCGTGTTCTGTGTGAAAGAACCATTGAGATGTTTTGTAAAAATGGCCCCTAGGTCCAGATACTGGAACATAATGCTGCTATACTGACTACAAGTTGGAGTGTTGTCATGTATACGGGTCAAGTGATTGTTGTTAACGCTGATTATTGAAACAGATCTTCAGCATTGTTTCGATTATTGTATATTATTGCTTTTTTAAACTGATTTCTGATCAAATAAACTGATTTAAAAATGCATCACTTTGGCTTTGATACAGATGCTTCTCTGTGTTTAGTTACTACTTTGTGGTCTCAAGAAAAATCCCACCCCCAGCGGGCTCTCTTTGAGTTAAAGTCATATAAAACATAAATGAAGTGAGGCTTCATCAGTACATTAAAGTAATGGCATTCTGCCTTTCAGACAAAAGTAATTGTTGAGAGCCCAGGTCTGAATAAAATATTTGTCGTTCATGCTAGATTGGACAGTAGATC